GATTGTGGTGATTCCTTTCAGTAGAGCGGTTCCCAAACATTTTGGTCTCAGGACCCCCTTGCACTGGGAAGTCATCTGTGTGGGGCGACGTGACGCTGTCTATTGTGTCACAGAATAAAACTAAGCCACTGAAAAATAAAGTAAACCCACCACATGACGTAAATAACATTTCCATTAAACAAACTTTATGTTTTTATATTTTCCAAAACAGAGAAATTGAGTGGGAACAGTAGGCCTGTTTTACACATTTCCAGGTCTCTTTAACGTTGTGGAGGCCAGCGGGACGGATTCTTCATTTCTGCCCCTGCTCTCATTTTGGGGGGTGGGTTTTTTAGCTGGAGTCCATGAAGCAGATCTAGCCCCACACCAGTATGCAGGGGAGAGGCGGGGTCCTCAGACAGTCTCAGGCCACCTGGGCCTGCACCGGAACATCCCCAGGCCTGAGCAACCACAGCCCCCGCGAGTTGCACGGACAACCACAGACGGAGTCCCGGGCACCGGGCGGCCCGCACGGCGTGCTTCCCTGTCCGCGCCCGCGCGTGTGCGAGCCCTCGGTGCCGCCGCTCCGGCGCTGCAGGGCCGCGTCTCGTGGTTTATGGGCGCCTTCTGTCCATGGCTGGCGGCATGGAGCGCCTTCTCGTAGCTCACGTCCTCCTGGGAGTGCCCACGTCCTGCCCTCGCCTTGTTCCGCTTCGTCGTCTTACGTTGGTCGCGGCCTCTCAATCCGACGTGCCTTTCCTGGACCAGCGGACGACCCGCCAACCTTTTCTCCCGTCTGCGGGACGTTCCCGGCCATCCCTGTGTCCCTGCCCGCCTGAAGGCCAGTGACTTGTGTCGACGGTCCCCTAGCTCAGCCGACTCTTCCCCCTTTTTATCCCGAATTTTCCCTGATTTTCGTTCCGGCAGCTGCTTTTGCTGTGGCTCCGGGTTCACCCGTCTCGCGCGGCGCCTGCTCCGACGCTGCCCCGCCCCGACGTGCCACCTGCCGTCACAGTTTGCCCCCTGCCACCCTTGGATTCGTCCGGTTAGCCTCCGCCGTCCGGCCTGTCTCAGGTTAGCTCACGTCTTCTGCTGGCATCTCACAGCCGGCGGTTCTTTTCCGTCCCAGACGCCGTGGCTAAAGCAGCAGAGGCGGCTCTGTTCCGTTCCTCGGAGTGCGCTTGCTCGTTCCTCCTTCCTTCCGGCACCGTCTCACTCATTGCAGAGGCTTAGCTCGCCCCCGTGGCGGGCAGCGCCGTATTTCAGCTTGGGCTAGGCTCGCAGTCGGCCCCGGGCCCCACCACATGCAGCGTGCCGAGTGCACCGGAGAGCAGCGTCTGTTCCCAGGCGTGGGCTCCCCTCTGGGACTCTCTTCTCCGATGTCTCCTCATTTCCGGCTGTTCTGATTGACTCCAGGTCTGATTCCGGTTCTTTAAGCCGGTAAGGGTGGGTTTTCTATGTGCCGGTCAGCTTTCCCCAGTGGCCCCTGACTCGGCCTCCCTTCAGACAAGACCTACGGGGAGCAGGAACTCCCCGCACCCCCTCCCTGCTTCCCAGCACCCGGCGTGTCCCTGCTTGGGGGAGGGCTGGTCTGTGACCGTCCCTCTGCCCCCACCAGAAGCCTCTCTCCGTGTTCACCATCCTCTTGTTACCAACGTAAGAAGTCTCCCCCCAACACCGGCTGCCGTTTCCTTCGTTTCAAGGGCATCCTGCAGGCACCCTCCCAGTTTCAGAGTAGACGGCTCCCGGAGAGACTAGGCTGGCCTCAGGGAGCCTCTCACCTTCTCCGGAGCCCTTGTAAAGCACCTAACGATGAGTCAGTTTCAGAAATATGGCTAGTGAGCCAGGCCAGCGACACTGGGCCTTGGCCTCCAGGGTGCCTGGGACTGCGGCCCGTGCATGGTGCCCTAGCCCACAGGTCAGCACCGCGAGTGACACTTCGCTCCCTGGCCTGCTGCTCGCCCCCTCTTGGTCCCCTCCCATGTCCACTCACTGACCCTCGGCTGTCAGAGGGAGCATCTCCAAATCTCTCAGCAGGTTTCCTTCTATTTTAGAGAAGAAAGATAAAATTGGACTCAGACTGTTTGCTCGTTTAACACCAACAGAAAAATCACTCTTCGTGATTTCACCAGATTCTTCGCTATCCCAACCTTTGTTTGGAGCCCATGGGATTTAGCAACTTTAACTTAGAAGTAACAGACCTGTGAGTGGCGAGGGGGTAGGCAGGCCAGGCGTCCTCTGGTGGGGAAAGAAAGCCCCTATCCCTGCTCCGCGTCTCCCACTGTCCCCTTGCACTCATATCACCAGAGCCGCCGCACCAGAGCCCAGACCTGACGCCCCTGACCCTGCACAGCGGGAGTCCTCTTCGGCCTGTATGGCCTGGAGCACTTCTCTTCGTTGCCGTCCATCTGGGTCTCGTGGCGGTGCCTTCCTTGTGGAACCGGCTGCCTTGCCCATTGAGAAACCAGCTCTACACGCAGAAGGGGCACCACCCTGCTCCGTGGTCTCCACTGGCCCCTTGCTTCTGGACCCCGCCCCTGAATTCTGTCTAGTCCCCAGAGCTCCAAACCCTGCTTTGTACCTGGGTCCCGGAGCCCAGCACAGCGCCTGGCTCACAGCAGGCGGTCACCTCCTGTGTGGGGGTCTCCCCACCTCTCTTGAGAACGCCTGGGACTTGCACTCCGGCGTATGTTCCTCCAGCAAGCGCTGCTTACTTTTCTATTTTCATCTTTCTCTCTTTCTCTCTCTTTTTTAAGATTTTGTTTACTTCTTTGACAGAGCAAGAGAACACAAGCAGGGGGAGCGGCAGGGGGAGAGGGAGAAGCAGGCTCCCTGCTGAGCAGGGGGCCCATGGTGGGGCTCAGTCTCAGGACCTGAACCGAAAGCAGCCACTTAACCGACTGAGCCACCCAGGTGCCCCTCTATGTTTAATTTTTATGTCTTAGTTCTATCCATCCAAATTAAAATTGCTCTGGAAATTTTATCATCTTTAAAGAAATACTAAGATCTGGGACGCCTGGGTGGCCCAGTTGTTGGGCATCTGCCTCAGCTCAGGTCACGATCCCAGGGACCTGGGATGGAGCCCCGCGTTGAGCCTGCTTCTCCCTCTGCCTTCGGCTTCCCCTGCTCGTGCTCATGCACTCTCTCAAAGTAAATAAATAAAATCTTTAAAAAAGAAACACTAAGATCTGATCATTCCTTATTAAAAAAAAGCTTTAAGCTCCTGGAAGTTTTGATCGCATCTGAACGGATATAAAGCGTACCTTGGTGGTAAGCGTTAGAAGCCACCTCGTGCTTAGGTGCGGGCAGGCACAGCAGGCATGGACAGGTGCGGGCAGAGGCATGTGTGGACACATGGGTGAGTATAGGCAGGGGTGAGCCTGCCTAGCAGGTACGGACAGGCGTGGGCAGGTGTAGGCATGTGTGAGCCTGCACAGCGAGTGTAGGCATGTGTGGACAGGCGTGGGCAGGTGTGAGCCTGCATAGCAGGTGTGGGCAGGCGTGGGCAAGGGTAGGCAGGTGTGGGCAGGTATGGGCAGGCTTAGGCAGGCTTGGACAGGCATAGGGAGGTGTGAGCAGGCATAGGCAGGCATTGGCAGGTATAGAGAGGAGTGGGCAGGCATGGACAGGTGTGAGCAGGCGTGGGCAGGCCTGGTGTGGACAGGTGTGAGCAGGCGTGGGCAGGTGTGGACAGGTGTGAGCAGACGCAGGCAGGTGTAAGTGTGGTGTTCTGTGGAGACTCAGAGCCCTCCACCCCAGGCTCTCCCACATAGTCCCACTGGCAGAACCAGAGGAAGTTCCACAGGAAAACCACTGATGGTTCCATGGTTCACCGGCTTACAACTGAGAATCGTACAAACGAGAGGCCCAGCAAGCTGGGGCAGATTTGCTGCTGGTCAGAGGGAACCAGACAGATGGCGTATGTCTGGTGCCTGCCTGAGAAGCAGAATCCAGCAGGAATAGCTCCTTCCCTCAGGTCTCCTCCAGGGAGCATGGCCCCCAAACACCCAAGTCCCCAAGCCCCAGCCGCTCCCGGGACCTTCCTGCTCAGCTGGGAGAGCTGCCCACAGCCGACAGCGGTCAGAGCCCGGGCTTCGGACACCGCCAGCCCTTGGAGCAGCTGCGTGCTCAGACAGTTGTCCCCAGGCCCCTCCCGTGAAGGCGGGGGCAGGTGACCAGAAACTTGGGGCCGCAGACTTGAAGGGTGGGCGCTTCGGTCTGTGCCGCAGGCTAAACCGGTGACCGCTGTCCCAACCCAGGCCTACAGGTACCTGGAGGAGATGCGGAAGCGGGTACCACCTGCCAGCATATCCTACTACGTGAGCCAGCGGACCGTGGACGCCGTGCACCAGGGCCTGGGCCTCCCCCTGGTGCGCACCGTGCCCGAGCGCGTCTGCCGCAGCAGCATGGACGACCGCAAGGAAGTAGACGAGGAGGTGCTGGAGGAGGTGGAGAGTGAGCCCTGACAGCCGCTGCTGCGAGCTCCTCTGGAACCTTCCGGGGTTGGTAGCAGGAGCCTGACCTTGTTGAGATGAAAACTGGTGTTTGACGCTCCAGGGCACTGGCCATCCTGCTTAGAAGGGGCCAGCGTATATCCTCCGGCATTCCTGGCCCCTGTGGTCCCTTTACCGGGAAGGGATTTGGCTCATTTTTTCCCATGACAGTCTCCCAAGTACAGACTGTAAAGCCTAAAATGCTAGAACTCGAAGGACTGTGCCCGTCCGTATGTTCACTGTGCCATATCCCAGCACGCAGGGGAGTCGCCCGAGAGCACGACTGAACGTTTCCAACAGGACACGCCGTCCCTGACCATGGGGCCTGGTGTCCATTGGAATGGACATGGGGGTGGCCTTGCCCCGGTGACACGATGGCCAGTGTGGGGTGGGTTCCTTCCAGGAGGCAGCCCCACACAGCTCTGTCACCAGCTCCCGCGGTGAGGGGACGGCCTTGGGGCGTGTCAGTGCAGGAAGGACGACCTTGGGCCCATGGAGCTACACCCTGCCCGAGCAGTGAGAGCCGTGTGGCCTGGGCTTGAACACGCGCAGCTCCTTTTTATTCTTCCTTTTCGTAGTTTTTTTAAAGTCTTCTGTGTTCAGGTGAGGAAGGGGCTTGGGGACAGGTTGACAATCAGCCCGCAGGGGCCCCAGCAGCTCCCTCCCTCCTCGGAACCCCCGGTCCATGCGCAGGTGCCCCTGTCCATGGGGGCAGCACCCGAGGGCCCGTGCGGACGGCTGGCGGAGCACGGGGGCGGGCCAGGCCAGCCACGGCGGGCGGACTACGGAGGAGCCGGTGGGACGAGTGCGTGTCTGAGCTTCTCCAGAAGCAGCAGCGCTCTCACCGCCAACAGCCTGCAGTCCTCGTCAGGGTCCTGCTCCGCCACGTCTGCCAAGAGAGCACGCGCGGCGGCAGCATCACCCGGCTGTGCGCACCAGCCCCCTGCGGTTTCCTCTCTGGGAGGTCTTCCTGCACAAGCCCCCGTGGGGTCTGGCTGTCCCCCACCAACCCTCCCCACGAGACAGCAGCACCTCAGACCCCAGCAAAGGCCTCTGCCCCATCCCCGCATGGGGGTAGGCCCCACTCTCCTGGGGCAATGGTGGCAGGGAGGCAGCGGGACGGAACAGACACCTCTAACTCCACGGGACCCGTCCTGGGACACAGGACGCCTCTGAACCTATAGCACGAGGCCCAGAGCTGTCCCTGGGGGCCTGGTGCTCACCTGCCAGCCAGGGCCGGGCTTCCAGCAGCTCATCAGGCAGGTCAGCCAGCAGCCGCTCGGCCGGAACGCTGAGCAGGACAGAGGAGACCGCAGACAGAAGGCCCTGGCGCACGTAGCTGCCAAGGGAGGCCAGAAGGCTGAGTCCTGATGGAACCCCAGGCCAGGGAGACCCCACTCCTCCTAGGGGTACAGCAGACCCACAGGCAACCAAAGCATGCTCGACCCCCTCCCACCCCTTCCTGCTTAGAAAGGGTCAGGCCAAGCTAGGAACCCCCCCACCCCCATCTGTCCACATCACAGCAGGACGTGGAACCCCGTCTCTGTGTCCACATGGGACCACTGCCCTCAGCCCCATGGCCACTCACGCGTCACCATGGAAGCGAAGGGTCCACACGAACTCCAAGAAGGCCTTGCCCATGGCCACAGCCGCCTGAAACCGCACAGGCCAGTGGGCAGGGGCCCTGGCAGCCAGAAGCAGTCCCCACCTTCAACCCTATGCTTTGATCCAAGGCGAGGCCCTATGTGGGGACAGGCACCAGCTGCCACCTCCCACTCACCGTGGTGTTCACTGCCAGGTACATCAGGGCCCCTAAGGTGTGGACCAATCTCCCAAGAACCAGTTGGTCCTCTCCCAAAAGGTCAAAGGTCACCAGAGGCCTAAAACACAGAATCCGGTGACCGAGCAGGCTCCCCAAACCCCTGGGTCACCAAGGGACATGCGGGGCCCCAGAAGCGCCTCCTCATTGCCTGTCCCCAGGCGGCACCCAGAGTCACGAGGGGAAGGCGCTGGGCAGGTGCAGAGCAGGAGGGGTGTCGAGGCACCAGAGCTGGCTCCAGCCCCGCCCACCAGAACCCAGCACCTGGGAGACCTCCACACAGGACACCTCACGGAGCTGCACACTGCCCCAGCCCAGGTTGCCTCCCTGCTGGAGGACCGCAGACCCCACGCTGGGAAGCCTCCTGTCCCCGAGGGTCCGCATACCTCCCACTCACCTGTCAAAGTGCCGAAGGAGTGGGAAGAAGAAGTAGCCAGCCACCAAGTTGAATTCATTGGGGCGAGCGTCCGGTCCCCGCCGGGCAGAGCCCTGCAAACAGACGGTGCTCAAGATGCCACCGTCCCTCCCCCGTGCAGGACTCCCGCTGCAGGAGCTGTCCTGTGCGCCGTGGAGTATGAGCAGCTCCTGCCCCGTGACAGCACCCACCCAAGGGACCCGATGGCTCAGCACACGCCAGGTCCCTTCTTGCTGGTGCAGGATTCCTCGGGCTGTCTTTGTAAGCATGTCACAGTCCTGTTTTAAAACCATGTCACTTGGATGCCCTACAGCACGTGTCCCTCACTCAGTTTGTACCACAGACTCCCGTCACAGAACACTAGTACTGGCCCTGTCCCGGTCCTAAATCAGCTGCCACCCCCCGCACCTCTGTGAAGGCAGCGCCTAGAGGCCACGGACCACTTGGCACCTACTTGGGTCCCACCCACAAGGACCTGGCCTGGGTCCCGGCTAACCTGAGAGAACCGCCGGGTCTTGTTTCTGATCCGTTTCTCCACGACCGCCCGCCAGGCGGGAGCCGGGGTGCTGCTGGGCTGGGAGCCGGGACTCGGGGAGCTGCACTGGGGAGCCTTGGGGAGGCGCCCAGGCCGAGACAGCTCCTGGGCAGCCAGAGTCAGGACCTAGAGGAGAGGGAAGACCCTCGAGGTAAACTGAGTGCCCTCGGGCCCTCTGCGCCGTTGGCCCCACAAGCTGTGCTGGAGGACGCTTGGGGGTCCACACAAAACATCATTCTGAGTATCCCGGCATCACTGCACGTGTGGGGGACAGGAGGGAAAGCTGGACGTGCTCCTGACAACAGCCCGGTGGCCTTGCTCTGCACCCGGAGCCCTTCTATTCCAGAACCTCATCCCATCTGGCGCCCAGACACCTGGGAAAAAGAATGAGGCTCTGACCCAGACTGCACCCGGAGGGGCCCCGGAACACAAGCAGGACACCCCAGCAGTCACGGCCACAGACGGCAGCCTGGTGCTGGCAGGCCCCGGGCCAGGCAGGGCAGGCTAACAGCCATTCCTCTGAGGGGGACGCAGGATGCCAAAAGTCACACGCCACTGTGAAGGCACCAAATGCCACGGAGCGGCCAGCATAGAGATGGTGACCCTGTTCAGAGCCGCGACCGTGGGGACTGTGCAGTTCGGGGCCAGTGAGCTCACGTCGCCTGGCCACCACCACCACCTCCAGAATTCCTGTCTGATTCGGACCCCTGGCCCTCACAGAGGTGAGATCCCACAGCCCCTGCACCCAGGACCGGCTTCCCCGCCGACCACCGTGGCCGGGAGGTGCCTCTGCGCCATGGCGGCCGTTAGAACTGCTTCCCGTGCGAGGCCCAGCAGCGGTCCATGGTATGCACAGACCCCATGTGCTCACCTGAAGACGGGAAGTGCCGCACAGAATTGTCTCTCAGTAAAGCTTTTGTCTAAGGTAAAGGGCGCGGCCGCCACCTAATCCCACACGCTCCCGAAAAAACCCCCGACAGGCGCCGGTCCCAGCCCCTGAAGTCCAGCCGCAAGGGAGCTGGGAAGGTCCTGGTCAGGTAGCTCTGGGCAACTACCCGCCCTGCCTGACGAGCGGGCAGAGGGCGCGGGCACTCACGTCCAGGATGTCCATGCGCTGCCGGAGGCTGAAGTTGACGGCATAGAACTGCGAGGTCAGGTACTCTGCGACCTAAGCCGGGCACACAAGAGGCCGCTGGGGGCCGCCACCCAGGGCTAGGGGCCCCGTGCAGATGCTGCCTGGGCGGCAGGACCACAGCACCGCCCCACCTCGCCCCACCCCTGTGACTCACCGGAGCCGGATCTGTGACCACGACGGCCACTAGGGCTCGCTGGCGCAGCCCCTCAAAGCCCACCACACTCGTCTTCTCCTCCAGGTGCAGTAGCACCTTGGCCAGCTCCACGCTCACCTGCGGGCACAGGGGTTGGCGTGCCTCAGCCCCCAACTTGCTCTGGGCCCCCGCAGCCCTCCACCTCCCCATCCCAGCCATGCGCGGGCCTCCTGGGCAGACACCTACCCCGCCCTCGACATCCCCTGCCTCGCTCACCTCACGAGCAGCAGCCGGACTCCTGAGAATCAGCCCCTCGAGAGCTCGCAGGGCCGCCTCCCAGCGCTCCCAGTCCTCACACGAGGTCAGGGCTACATAGAACAGATGGGCCAGCGCTGGTCCTCAACCCTGACCTCATGTGAGGCAGAGCCTACAGCCAGAGTCTGGGCGCTGGGCGGAAGCAGAAAAGTCCTGGGACCTGGGCAAGGCACTTCCCACAGTTGAGCCACCCCAGGGCAGGTGCCAGCAGGGCTCCCGATGGGGAAAAGGCCCACCTTCCATGCAGTCCCGGACGTAGGCAGGTGCCTTCCCACTCTTCAGCTCTTGGTCCCCCGACATGTCATACGGGACAAGCTCATCATCACTGGGAAGCAGCAGAGACCACAGGGCCAGTCCGTCACCCAGGAGCAAGCAACAGGCAGGCCATGCTCCTGAGCCACCAGCACTCACCCCGAGTCCCCAAAGCCTCAGGAATAACAGATTTTCCTACTAGGGCGCCCCAGGAGAGCAGTGCTGCGAGGCTGATCCACGACCTCCAGACAGCATGGGCCGCTGCGTGTGTGGGGCTCTGATGCCAGCACAGAGCTGCCCCCCACCTCTGCAGTTTCCACCTGAGACCAGCCCCTACCTGTCCAGGTCAGAGCCCGAGCCCTCCGGCCGGGCCTGGGGGACACCACCATCCGTGCTCCCTCCGTCAGGGGTCTCTGCAGCCGCTGGAGCCACACTGGGGCTTCGGAGAACAAAGAAGGAACCCTTCAGGGAGGCCCCACTCAAGTTTCTGGCCTCGGAAGCCACCTTGCCCGGGAAGTGCTCTCCCTGCTGCCGCCCTGCACTTCTTTCCTGGTGTCTCAGCAAGTGGAGTCCAGCATGACAAAGTAAGGAAGTAGCACATGTGCGGGAACGGGCTCTGCCCAGCCAACCATGGCCGGAGCTCGGGGACCATGGGGCACGGAGACCCTCACCTCGCCTCCACCTCCGCGGGGCTGTCAGCCGCAGGCAGGGGCGCCGCCAGGGCCAGCAGCTCTCGACTCAGCTCGTCCTCTTCATACTGCAATGCACACAGGCTGGGGCCAGCAGGGGAGGGTGCCGGAGGGCGGCCCATGGCCCTGGGAGCCTCCATCACTGCCCGCAACTGCGCAAGTCTCCGCAGGGCAGCGGGCAGCCCGACCTCCGGAGTGGCTGGCATCCCCGAGGACATCCCAGGGGCTGCAGAGGTGGAGGGGAGGGGACGCCTGTCCACCATGCCTGAGCCTGTCCAGAGAGGATGCTTCCATACGCCCCAGGGAATCCTCCTGGGGGCAAGTATTAAGGCAGTCGCTCGGGGGCTATTCCCCTCCCCTCGGGGTCGGGGCCCTCAACTCCACACCAACAGGCAGATCCGTGGACCCAGACCGGGGAAGGCGAGGTGACCTCGGGACGGGGAAACACCGAGGGCGCGGCCCTTGTTCACCTGGAACCTCAGGCGAGGACCCTCGGGGTGGATCCGGGCACTGGCCACCTCGGCCACGATCATGCCCAGACGGCGCACGGCAGGCAGGCTGCTATCCAGACGGTTCTTCACTCCCACCATGAGGCTCGCCAGCAGCTCTGCAAGCACCGATGGCCATACACTGAGCACCGAGGGCACGCGGGGCCAGGCCCGGGGATGGGACGGGGTGCCTGGCCGCTTGCTCACCGTCTCGGCTGTCCCGGAGCTCGGCGTCCCCCAGGTGCGCCAGGCAGATGAGCAGGGCCGCGCTGACGTAGCGCTGCTGCGGGAGGGGCCCATGGCGCATGGCACTGCTGCTGCCCCACGTCTCCAGGAGCTCCCTCAGCACCTGGCGGGCGGCACGGCGCCATCAGACAGCCCCACCACCAGGCCAGGAGGGCCTCTTGCTGGCACCTCTGGCCCGGACCAGAGCGCCGGGGGTGGGGGTACCACGCATACCTGCACAAGGAGCGGGCGCCGCTGGCTGTCCATGGCCAAGTACCCCAGGAGGCTCTGCAGCGTGGGCGTCTGGGACACGGGCCGGCCGTCACTGTCTGCTGGGCGGACGTCAGCTACCCACGTGACAGGCTGAGGCCCACCCGGCCAGGGGTCCCCGAGCAGACGTCAGCTACCCACGTGACAGGCTGAGGCCCATCCGGCCAGGGGTCCCCGAGCAGAAGCGGGGCTGGGCTGAGGCTCAGCAGTGTTTTCCAGGTGACTGAGCTCAGCTCCACCTGCCGCGGTCACTTCAGGGCCCCAGGGCGGCGCTCAGCCCACACCCTCACCACAGCCTCACCGAGTGCCGGTGCTGGAGGAACAGAATCTTTCGGGTCATCACAAACCGGGCCTTCCTACTCTTCACCACCAGGTTCCCCAACAGCCGCGAGAGGACTTCGGGCCTGTGAGGCACAGTTGGGGGGAGACAGGGAAAAGCGTGCACTCCAGCCCTCCCCAGCTCCATGCTAACCACTGGGGGCCCAGGGCCTGTGCCTCAGCTCTGAGTCGCACCCAGTGCCCCTTCCTCCCGGGAATAGCCCAGCGCGTCGACACTAGAGGATGTCCTTCCCTGCTCTGGCCACATCTCGTCAGGGTAACGAAGGAGGCAGCAGCTCTCCGCGTGAGCTCAGAATAAGCGGGAGAGAACGGGACACTTGCCATCCCTGGAGGCCCTGCCTCCCGCACTCCTGGCTCCTTACCCTGCAGCGACCTCCACCAGTCCCGTGAGCAGAGCCTCCATGGCCCGGTCGGGCACACTCTCCATCAGGCGCCAGCAGACCCTCTGCCAGAGGCAGCTGCCCTCGCTGAGTGCCGTCAGCCGTGGCACCAGCACGCCCAGGATCTCCTCTGAGGGGACGCACATAGAGGCCCTGAGCTCGGGGCCGTGTGGCATTCATGGTCCACTGGCCTGCCAGCCCAGCCCCTTCTGGGGGCAGGGTGGGTAGCAGACCCAGGCTCCCCAGGCGAGGGGACCGCCCTCCACAAGGGAAGTGTGCTGCCCGCCCCTGCTGGGGATGGCCGCAGGAGGGATGGGAAGACGTCCAGAAAGGGCGGGGGCTCCTCCCGGGCCAGGAAACACTCACTCTGTCTCCCGTGGACGCAGGCTTTCCCGAGCACCCGAGACAGGAAGGAGACGGAGCAGTCCCAGCCGCCTGCGACAAGAAGGAAAGCGGGATTTTAAAGCAGGGCAGCAGCGAGACCACGAGACAACCCCCGACCGGGCAGGAGCAGACCCCACTTCTGGACAGGCGTCTGTGCCTCGTAGACGCGCCACTCCTCTCCATAGAGCTCCGCCTGAACTCTGAGGAGCACCGTCTCTAGCTAGAAGCACCCGGCGTAGTTCCTGAAAGCCTTCCACGCCCCCGCTGGCTCCATCACCTGCGATGACCCCACGCAGTACAGACCAGTGTGGGGGCACGGGACGGAGGGGGCACCAAGGGGAGGAAACGGGTCATGGGGACAAGGGGAGGACAGGCCCACCAACCCACCAGAAGCACCCGGATGGCGGGGCCCAGCGGGAGGCAGTCAAGATGTGCACGACGGACGGGAGCACCGGCCGCCTCGAGAGCAGCGTCTGAGATCCTGCGAGGACGAGGCGGACGCAACCCCCCACAGAAGCAGACGCAGTCAGAACGCGCTGGCGGCTCCTCCCAGCACAGTGCAGGAGCGCCCGCAGCCTGGCTGAGCCCGACAGAGCCCGTGGGCTGGGAGGATGCCGGCGTGTTCCGCCTCACCCTGGCTCCGCACCCTCTACAGGGACGACATGAGCGCGCGCGGGAAGGGCACCCACGCCACAGTCTTGGTGGGACCCTGTGTGCGCCCTGTGACAGGAGAACAGCGAGTGGTGCAGACTCCAGGCCCGACTAGAGCAGCAGAGACCGAGCGATGTGGTCTTTAAGACGCTCAGTGAAGGCCCCAGCGGTGAGCAGCCCCATCTGGACGGCTCCCCCAGTGCGTGCAACCAGGAGCTAAAGGAATCAAGGTCAGCACCGTCTTCAGGGTCAATAAGCCAAGAAGTGGGTGCAGCTCAGTGTGTGGGTGACCACACCCCAAGAGGAGACAACTGACCTGCCACTGGCATCGCCCAGAGAATCCCAAGTCCCCAGGGGCTGTGAGAAGCCAGGGGCAGGGGGCAGGAGGGAGGGACGGGATGGTGACCAGAGAAGATGGCTGGAGGGACACTGTGGGGGGCCCGCACCTCGGAGGGAGTCCACCACTGCCTGCAGCGCCCGCATGATCTCCTCGCCGAGCAGAGGGAAGTAATTCTGGGGGAGGAAGGCCTCCAGGTTCTCCCGCTGCAGACGGTTGCCCAGCTGGTCGGGCAAGCCCACCACCTTGGTGAGGAGCGTCTCCTGGAGCAGAGGGAAGGCCGGCTCTGCCGGCGGCCGACACTGGCCCTCCATCACAGCGGCCATCCTGCCCGTGCTCAGGAACCTGGCCAGCAGCTGCGCCACCTTCATCAGACGGAAACTCGGGCTGCAACGGAGCAGGAGTGATGGGCAGAGGCGTGAGCCCCCATCCCTGGCGTCCCGGGCCCCAAGGAGGAGCAACAGCCATCCTTAAACAAGTAATCCCGCAGCTCAACTGGCACGAGGATCTAAATCCCACAATCCCACTGCCAAGCCGCCAGTCACGGGTGGGGCGTGAGCGCCCGCGGGGCCCAGCACCGATTCCCCACCGTGCAGTCGCCGGACGCTGCCACTCTCCTCTCCCGCTCCACGCTGACCCTGCGGTTTACGGCAGCAACCCGCAACCCAGTTGCGTCAGAGCACAGCGGCCATGTGGCAGGACAATCTCATGCTCTGACACTGAGTCTGGGAACCGCCGTGAGCTAGGTGTCCCCACAGGTGCGTTGCGGGGTCCGGAGGGCCCTCACTGGGGAGCTGAGAGCCATGGAGGGAAGCAAAGGGCCCCGCGAGGAAGCCCACTGCCTACCGACGTCACCCCAGCCTGGAGCAACCCACTGCCTAAGCCATCGGGATGGGAATGCTCCCTCCCGTCACTAGTGTGGCAGGAACCAGAGCAAGGACTGCAAAGGAGATTAACATAAACCACCTTAAATTTTCAGACGCTCTGCTGGGCACGCATTCTAGTCTCTCACCTTTCAGGACACCACATTGTCAGAGAAGCTGGACAACCTGCTGGTTTGCAGTCCTTCAGGCCACACTCCTGCTTCGGACATTACAAGTGACCCTATCATCAGACCCCACTCACCCTGCAGCACCCTCGATGGACTCCATCAACACCAGGAAGGCTTGGTCAGCAGGGCCCTCCAGGAAGAAGCTGGCCCACAGGTCCTCCAACTGGCCGTCGGGCAGAAGCCCCAACCAGCCTGGGCTCAGCCTGCCCACGAGACATCTGAGGACGGCGGAGAAGTGCATCCTGGCGAACTCCTCCTGCTCCCCGGGAAGGGCTGGGTTCTCTGCTCCCTGGAGATACCGCTTCAGGGCCCCCAGGGTGGAAAGGATGTGGCCGCCATCCTCAGAAGTGGAAAGGTTGTGAAGGGCTTCCCGGACAGCGAGCAGGACGGTAGACCGTGCCGGTTCCATCCTGGAGGCCACAGGATAAGCCCGTGAGAAGTCCATGGAGCCCTTGGCACCCACGCAGGGCCGGTCTCAGACAAGAAGTGTATTTCACATGCTCTCAGAAACCCCACTCTCTGCCCCCCTCCCCATCTCTCCTCACCCCTGCTGTCGCCCAGCAGTACCCTCCCCCTACAGCATCTTCCAAGTCTGTTCACAGCTGGGTACCCTCCACAGTACGGCACTGTGCCCCTGGGGCACAAGTGGGGGTGCTGCTGGTACCTAGGGAGTGGGTGGTAGAGGCCAGGGATGCTGGTCAACACCCCATCTGGGCAGGACAGCACCCAGAGCAGAGGCTAGTCCAAACTCAAAGGTGGGCTGTGCTGTGAGGCTGGCGGACCCTGGACCACAGGCCTCCTATCACTTCTCCCCCAGAAACCAGAATCCTCTCTGCTAGTATTTGGGGTCGCGGGCTCCTGCGGGGTTGAGTACCATTAGGTGGGCATCTATCACCGGTGCACCCAGACACTAGATAAGGCTGCATGAGAAGGGCCCCCACGAGCCGCCTCCCCACCCAGCCGGGTCTACGCGGTCTGTGCCGGCGACCAACCCACCCAACGCTCCCTTGCCCAGCGTGCGCTCGGAGTCCACATCGTGGCGTGGCGGGAAGGGGCCTCCTGGGGCCGGCTGGGGGCCTGGGGGACGGGAGGGCGGTCTCCGGGGCGGGCTGGGGCCTGGGGGGGTGGAAGGGGCCTCGGGGCGCGCATGGGCCTGGGGACCGACGGGGTGGGGGTCTCGGGAGGCGCGCACCCGCTCGGTCCTGTCCCGGAGCCTCCTCGGCGCGCTCACGGCCCGCCCCGCCGCGGCCACCCCTCCGCCGATTCGCCACGGCCGCGGAGGCCCAGCTCCGTGTGCGGTTCCCGGCCTAGAGCGTGAGGCCGCGGAGCACGAGCTCCCCGCGCGCTAGCAGAAGTGCCGCTGAGTTTGCCGAGTCTGTGGGGCCGGTCCCCGCGGGCAGGTCGCGACGAATCTGCCGCGACGCCGGCGGCCCGGAAGAGGCGTGGGGACGAGCGGCCGCATCTGCGCCTGCGCCTAGCGGGGGCGTGGCCCTGGTGGGCAGGACCCCCAGATGGGCGGGGCCGACAGGGAAAAGAGCTTTCCACGCTGGGGTCGCCAGCGCAGGTGGCCGTGTCTGTGGGCCGAAATCCGGTTCCTCGGTGGCCGCTTTCCAAGGGCTGCTCTTCATCTCGGCGCACGTGCGATGGGCAGCGTCGGGTGCGACCTGCGAAGGCCTCCGGGAGGCGCCGGTTCAGCCTCGACTGCCCTAGGCGACGTCCGGGAGGCAGGCCTTCGCTCGGCGCGCTCCGATTAAATGTCCACTGCGCACCCCAAGCCCTCCTCGGGGGCGGACCGTGAGGCCGAGAGTCCCCGCTCCTGAATCAGGGGCACAAACGGAGTGCAGGCGGGACGTGTACGATGCCAAAGACTGATGGGAAAAACTGGGCAGGGGCGCCTGCGTGGCGCAGCCGGTGGAGCGCGGAACTCTCGGTTTGGGCCGGGGTCATGGTCTCGGGGTCGTGGTATTGGGCCCCGGCTGCGGCTCCCCGCTGGCCGGCCGGGAGCGGGCTGGAGACTCTCGATTCTCTCCTAGTGCCGCTCTGCCCGTCCCCGGCTCGCGCGGGCGCGCGCTCTCGCTCTCGCGCGCTCTCAGATCAGATCTTTCGAAAGAGAAGGCGGCTGGCTCGGGAGTCTGGTTTTGGAATTCCCGCCCTGGGCGCCCGCAGGAGACGCGCGGGAGCGGACAGCTGCGGGCGCAGGGAGCGCAGGTGCGCGGCAGCTGCAGCCCGGGTGTGGGCGAGACGGGGCCGAGCGCTGGCCCGGGTGCCCGGCGGAGAGGGGCTGACTGCGTGGATGTGGGCTGGGCCAGGCTGCGCGGAGTCCCGGAGGACGCCTTCTTGGGACTGCGGGCCTCCGCCCCGGCCGCCCCTGGGTTGGAGCCTCGCTCTCCACTTGCTATAGCGGCTTCTCTCGACCTTGACCCCCGTGTTTCCAGCAGGCCTGCCAGGTTACTAGGCGCCTCCTGCAGCCGGACACAAACCTCTCTGGCCTTCACGTGTCTGAAAAGTGCGTTTGCTCTTTGCTCCGGGCAGGTTCACGTTTGAGCCTGATGGACAATTTTAATTTAAATTAATTTAATTTAAAAATAATTTTCACTCGGGCGTGCGAAGGTTTGTTCCTCTGGGTTTATTATTATTGTGTTTATTTTACTTCAAAGATTTTATTTATTTGGTTTTTTTAAAGATTCTATTATTTATTTGACAGAGATCACAAGTAGGCGGAGAGGCAGGCAGAGAGAGAGGAGGAAGCAGGACCCCAGGATCATGACCTGAGCCAAAGGCAGAGGCTTAACCCACTGAGCCACCCAAGTGCCCCAACAAAGATTTTATTTGACACAGAGAGAGAGCACAAGCAGGGGGAGCAGCAGGCAGAGGGAGAAGCAGACTCCCCGCTAAGAGCAGGGAGCCTGACATGGGACTCAATCCCAGGACCCTGAGATCCTGACCTGAGCGAAGGCAGACGTTTAACCAGACACCCCGCCCCTCTGTTTTTGGCAGCCAGCCAGCATTCAGTTCTCTAAGGAGAGTCTTAGTCTTTCCCATTGACCAGGTTTTTCCTCCGCAGACACTTCTAGAATCCTCTCCTCATCCACGGGGTTCTGACACTTGGTGACACACAGTCTTGAGACTGACGGATGCTCTCGACTATGACACCTTCCCAGACTTTCTTCCCATTTTCTTTTCTTTCTTTTTTTTTTTTTTAATTTTACTTACTGGGGCGCCTGGGTGGCTCAGTGGGTTAAGCCTCTGCCTTCCGCTCAGGTCATGATCTCTGGGTCCTGGGATCCAGCCCCGCATCGGGCTCTCTGCTCAGCGGGGAGCCTGCTTCCCCCTCTCCCTCTGCCTACTTGTGATCTCTCTCTCTGTGTCAAGTAAATAAATAAGATCTTTTTAAAAAAAGATCTTATTTATTCACTTGACACAGAGAGACACAGTGAGATGGGCAACGCAAGCAGGGGGAGGGTGAGAGGGAGAAGCAGGTGTCCGGCTCAGCAGGAAACCCGATGTGGAGCTCAATCCCAGGACCTGGGATCATGACCCAAGCCAAAGGCAGACACTTAATGACTGAGCCTCCCAGGCGCCCCCCCCCCCCTTTTCTTCAGTCTCACTCTCCGTACTCGCTTTTCATTGGATTGACCTTGAAGGGCATGTTTTCTCTCTCTCTCTCTCTTTTTTTTCTTTTCATCTCTTTGTCTTCTTCCCCTATTTTCTGGGCAATTCTTTAAGCCTTGCCCTTTAGCTGTCCTGATTTTATTACTAATTTGGAAAATCCTCGTTTTCATCCTTCTGGACCAACTTCATTTTTTATTATTCCTTTTCTCGTAATATCCACATTTCCGCCTTGCGGGCACAAAGCTTTTCTTGTCTTCCTGGGGGTGATAATTAAGATCTTTCAGAGCTTTCCCTTGGCTCTCTGCGTTTTTCTGTTTGGGCAGATTTCTGTCAGAGGCCCCGTGTCTAGAGATGTCTAGTTTAGCCTTCATATTAAGCCCAAGACGGTTAAGGGCCAGAAGCTGTGTATGTGGATGAGGGGAACTTGCTTTGACAGATGGGGGGAAGGGAGACTCTTGCTTCTTCCCAGGGTTAAAGAAGCCCCTCCTCCTACCTGGGGGCAGGTGTCTGGCTGTGGCTGCTGCTTTCTGGAAGCGGGTGGAACCCTCAGCGCCCCACAATTTAAAATGCAGCATTTTTCTCATCTCTTCCTTTTTAAGTCAGTTTATTTATTGAAACTAGCCTCCACGCCCAATGGGGGCTTGAACTCATGACCCTGAGAGTAAGAGTCACGCGCTGTACTGACTGAGCCAGCCAGGCGCCCCAGCAATATATTTTATGTAACCCAATCAGTCCAGAATGTTACCTCTTGAACACATAGTCCCATATAAAGTATGATGACTAGTGAGGTGGTTTGCATTCCTTTTTTGTACTAAGTTCTGAATCCAGTGTGCATTACATCCCTGGCGGACCTCAAGGCCAGTCACATGGCAGGGGTTCAGCCGCCCACGTGGCGCTGGGAACCGGTGGGGGGGGGGGGGGGGGGGGAGCCAGCTGACCACATCCTGCGGCGGCGGGATTGGTGAACAGAGCGTTCACCAGCTGCAGGAGCTCAAGGAGGCCCCGGGGACCCAGGAGCTCTCTATCCAGATTCACATGAGTCCCCTCACTCAAGCCTGTGCCATGCCCCAGCTTCCCAGTGTCCCTGGATGCCCTTGGCCTCTCAGAGCTCTCTGTAATAAACTGAACGGTGGTTCCCAAAACGTAGGTCCAGGTCCTAGGCCCACCCACATGAATGCAAGCTTTTTCAGAGCCCTGGGGAGGAAGGGGCAGGGCCCTAGGACATGCGGCACCAGGGGCGCAGAAGAAAAAATTCCCTGTTTTCAGCTCCCCTGTGGGGGTCACGGGTTACCAGCCCAGCCGTGAGACTCGAGCACAACCAGTGGCCTAAGGAAGTGGGGCAGGTGGGGACCTCATCCCAGGGAGCAGAATAAAACGACGGTCAATTAGACAGCCGTGCAAGGTTCCTCTTCCCCAGGCACCACTTCGATGGCAGCAGAAGGACAAAGGTGAAGGAGCCCAGGGCTGAGGAGAGGGCAAGGGGAGCAGCACTGGAGGCACGGATCCAGTGTGGCCTGGGAGAGTGACAGGTCAAGGGCAGAGCCGGGGGAGCTGCGCAAAGAGCCCCCCAAGAGAAGGGAGGGAAGGAGTCAGTGTCCCCAGGCCACGACCAATGACCTGTAACCAATGGAGGTCCCAGGTCAGTGGGTCCCAAGCTGCGCCTTCCCAAGGCTCCAGGGAAGACCGCTCCGGCCTCGTCCAGCTCTCCCTGCACCCGCAGCGCCCCAGTCTCTGCCTCTGTCTTCCCACGGCCTTCTCCCCTGTGTCTCTTCTGTCTCTTGTAAGGACCCCCTAATTCAGCATGGTCTCCTCTCGAAACTTTTCATGACGTCTGCAGGGGACTTCTTCCCAAATAAACTCACCTTTGCAGATGCACGGGGATTCACAGGGTTAGGATGAGGACCTACCATTTCGGGGGCCACCGTTCAGCCCACCATGCAACCTCTACCGCAGAATAATTTAAGGTGGCCCCCAACCCCATTTCCTTTGCCTTATCCGAGGGAGAGAGGTAGGCTTCACAGGCCCCTCTGTGCACGGCCCACACGCTGGGCCCCACAGCAGACTTGGCTCCAGAGGCTCCCCGGCCCCTGCCCGGCCCCAGCCTGCTTCAGCTTCTGGTTTTTGGGAGCTGAGTGCATGTGTCCCCTGCTAAAGCAATCACCTCCGCATGGCTCTGAGCCAGCCAGGCCAGGGCTCGCACCCAGAATTGTCTTCCAGAGAAACTGTTTGCATCTGTTTTAAGCTTGTGTCCTTGGGAACCTCTGGCTCTCTAGAGCTCACTGACTGGAGGGCAAATGCTTTTCATTAAGGTGGCAGGAGGAAGCTGACTCCCAGCCAGAGTGGGAGAAGGAAAGCCGCTGCACTGGCAGGCTTGGGGGGGTGGGGGCAGCAGCGCACGGCCAACGGCCTTTCAGTCGGGGGCTCCTCTCCACGTTGACAGGATGGGCTGCCCGCGGAGGAAGGCCCTGTCTCTCCTCCTTATTCTTGTGCCGGTGCATCTGCACAGGGCTTTGTCGCAGGGAGCCAGCCCTGCAGGGCCAAGGAAGCCATTTCTCGAGCGGCTCCGTAGGCTGGAAGAGCAGGTGAGTGTCCCTACCACGTGGGACGGCTGTGAGTGCAGCTGTACAGCAGACGCAGCGACAGACGGCGAGCGTCCTGCTCTGGAGACGCAGGCGTGAAACGCAGGCTTCTTTCCATCCGTGACTCTACTGTCCCCTGCAGTGGGCCACCCGTAGAGTAGGCTGCTGGGCTCTGCTGGGAAGTCAAGCCAACCGATGTGGGGGACAGGGTGGGAGTCGGACTGGGCGGCGGAGTGGGATGCCCCAAGAGGGGGCGCTGGAGGGGTGCTGGGGTGTGCTGGGCATCGGGGTGGGAGCTCTGCCGGCACTGCCCGCTTTGATCCCCAGAAACCACTCATGAAGCTCGCCCTGCCCTACGTCCACTCAGGCAGGACCCCGAGTGTCACAGGGTGGGGCATGCAGGGTAGGGGGGTGCGGGGAGATGGGAGCCTGAAGCCCTCACCCACAGGGTGCAGCCCAGAGACCTTGGGGTGGTCACGCGCGTCTCTGAGCACGGCCGCCATGGGGCTGGGGCTGGTCATCGGCCCAGCCCTGGTGCCGCTGCCTGGGGAGCCGGTCAGCATGGGGCACGGTCGGGGGGTGACAGGCACCCGGAAGCGTGAGCGGGAAGGCTTGTCCTGCTTCCTCGCTGGCCCGAGGCCCCTGCGACTGTTGTGTCTCTCTCTGTAGTTCCGGAGGTTCCAAGAGGTGACCTTAACCCACCTGCAAGACCTCGCCAGGAACTACAACCTGTCCTACGACGTCGATGCCCGGTTCCAGAGCCTGGCCCGCGAGACCCAGGCCGTGGCCCTGGCTGTGAACCAGTCACACGCTGCCGTGCAGGGTGACCTGAGCCACCTCAAGACCTGGATGCAGAAGACGCAGCGCAGAAGCCGGAAGGTGGAGTCCAGGCTGCTGGCCCTGGGGGCCGCCCTGAGCGAAAGGGACCGGCAGCACACCCAGGACAGGGAGGACCAGGAGGCCCGGAGGGGCGCCCTCTCCAGCCTGGCCCCGGCCGTGAGGGCCCTGCAGGACACGCTGGCTCACCTCACGGCCCTCGTGCAGGGCCAGGATGCCAGGCTGGGTGCTCTTGAGGCCCGGATGCAGGGGGCAGGTCCCAGCACTGCGACCCCGGCGCTGACGCCGGCCCAGCCCCTCACCTCACCTGGGCTGCCCAGCCCCAGCTCCCCAGCGGTGCACAGGGGGAGGCAGGTGCTCAGACCTTCGCCTGAGACCAGGGACCCGCCTCAGGACTCCGCAGGCCATCCGCAAGGGACACGGGCACCCCCTGGCCCAGGCAGCCAGCAGGCATGGTCCCCCGAGAGACCAGGAGAGAGTGAGTACCACAGCCTGCCCTTACCCCGTCGGCCTCCCCTCTCCTCCCTCGTGCCTCCTCAGGCCTCTGGTCCCCTCTGAGCAGCCTTCTCCCCTGAGCTGCGGGGAGAGGACACTTCACAGCCCGGCGCACCCCCCACAGAAACGGGGGCCATGGGGGAGGTGATGGCCTGTCTGCAGGCTCTTCCCAGCGCCCTGGAGCAGACGTGCACAGACGTCAGGTGCTGCCCAGGGGGTCCCCCACTCCCTCCTATGACCGCTCTCACAAGAGCTGGTGGGTTAGCAAGACGTCCTCCGCCGCTCAGGGATGTGGTTTATGCCGAGCGGGGCCCCTCTGCGGAGCTGGCCCTCTGCTGTCTCAGATCTCCCAGGATAGGGTTTCTTGGGCACTACTGACATCTGGGGCCTGCGGGGCGGCGGCGTTGCCCCAGGTGCTGTGGGGTTGAGCAGCGGCCCCGGCCTCTACGCGCTGGAGGCCCGTCCATCTTTGCCTTGTTTTTGACTGGATTGCTTCTCTGTCTAGCTGACCAGCCCTGGGGCCCCGGGAATCGGAAGCAGGGTTCCCCTCCCTCTGGGTCGGTCTGGCAGCCTCACCAATGAGACGGAGCTGATCGGCTGACCTCAGAGGGACCACCAGGGCCCCTGGGAAAGATATGGGGATCGCCAAAGTTCTGACAACCAAACTACCTGCAGATATCCCTAGGTGTCTGCTGGGGGGGGCAGTCACCCCCAGCGGCACCTGCTCTATGTTGTTATTATGATGATGACTATTATTTTAAAGAGAGAAAGGGGGCAGAAGAGGCAGAGCAAGAATCTCAAGCTGACACCGTGCTGAGCTCAAAGCCCAACCCAGGGCTCGGTCCCACAACCCTGAGATCACATGACCTGAGCCAAAATCAAGAGCCAGACACTTAACCGACTGAGCCACCTGGATGCCCCCTGCCCTAGATTACAACAGATATCCCTGAGGGGAAGAGAGGGGCTGGGAGCCCTCCATCCTTGGGTCCAGTGGGCTGGCAGGTGAGACCTGTAGGTCCCCAGCCTGCCATTTGGAACCCCAGACCTCACCCCACCCCATAGACCCCTCTGTCAGGCTGACCTGAAGGGGGGTGGCCCCAAAGATGTTCACATCCTGACCCCTGGGCCCTGTGGATGCAGCCCCTCGTGGGGTCAGGGGACTTTGCAGCTGTGATTACAGATTGTGAGACAGGAGGGGATCTGGGATTAACACCAGGGTCCTCTCGGGGGAGGCGGGAAAGTCAGAGAGGGAGCTGGGACCGCAGGGACGGACGGAGGTGAGAGGAAGGTACTTTGACGACGCGGGAGGGGCCGTGAGCCACGGAGTGGGGGCGTCTCCGGAAGCTGACGGGCAGGAAAGGATTCTCCCCGGGGCCTCCACCTGGAGCCAGCTGCCTCCGTCATGGCTTTAGTCGGAGGGACCAGCTCTGGCCTTGACCTCCAGAAACGGAAGATACTCAGTGCATGTTGTTTGGAGCCCCTGAGTCTGTGGGGCTCCCACGGCTGGGGGCATGCCTGCAGGCTCACTCCCGCCAGGGCGTAGACCACGCTGGCTCCCAGTCTCCCCACCTGCAGGACAGGCCCATCGTGCCGTGAGGCCCACAGGGACCCCGCTCGGCCAGCCTCCCGGCTCGTGCTGAGGCAGCCCCGCCGGGTCTGCAGCCCCTGCCTCCGCGTGCTGCTGGGGCTGACTCCCCTCTCTGTTTCCAGCCTGTGACGTGGGCCCCGTGCTGGTCTTCCCTAACGCCTCCACCCAGAACGTCGCCTTCCTCAGCCCCGGCTTCCCGTGGGGTCTGCGAGCCCTGTCCGTCTGCAGCTGGGTGCGCACGGCCTCGGGCCGCCTGGGCACCCTGCTGTCCTACGCCACGGAGGAGAACGACAATAAGCTCGTGCTGCATGGCGGCGGGAACTCCCTGGCCCCGGGCGCCATCCACTTCGTGATCGGAGACCCGGCCTTCAGGGAGCTGCCCCTGCAGCCGCTGCTGGATGGCCGCTGGCACCACGTGTGTGTCATCTGGACGTCCATCCTGGGCAGGTACTGGCTGCACGTGGACCGCAGGCTCGTGGCCACCGGCTCCCACTTCAGGGCGGGCTATGAGATCCCTGCAGGAGGGTCCCTGGTGCTGGGCCAGGAGCAAGACAGTGTGGGCGGTGGCTTTGACAGCTCTGAGGCCTTTGTGGGGAGCCTGGCAGGCCTGGCCATATGGGACCGGGCGCTGGTCCCCGGGGAGGTCACAAAACTGGCCACCGGTAGGGAGGTCCCGGGGGGCGCCATCCTGACGCTGGACGACGCCCAGTGGAGAGGCGGGTTTGTGCAGCAGGTGAACTGCAGCTGCCTGGAGCTCTGTCCCTGAGGCCCTGCACTCTGGGTCCCCACAGGAGCAGCCGCCGCCGCCCTCAGCTACCCCTCCCCAGCCACCCCAGCTCAAGTGCCCTGTCCAGGTCCCCTCTGGACTGACCGGGAGGCGACAGGGCAATGTGGGAGGGAGGGAGCAGGCTGACAGGTGCAGTGAGGCCATGGGAGGACCCACGGGCTGTGACGTCATTCCCGCCTGTGGGGGCAGGACTCCATGGGGCCTTGCGCCTGCGCTGGGTTTGCCGATGGAGAGCCCCATTTTCGTGGTACCTGGGTGGGTGCATTTGAACTGCCATGGCCCTCCTTTGAGGTGGCTTAGAAAGCGTCCCCTGGGTGGTCCTTGCTGCCGTGTCCCTCATGAAAAGGACCAGGAATCTATTTCCTGCCCCGAAGCCCCAGCGACTTGACCGGTCACTCCGGGGCCTCCATCAAGCTGCCGCTGTGGGAGTCCGTGAAGGGAGCAAGCGATTCAGAAACAAACGGAGCAGTCGCCGGCCGCACTTTCAAGGCACCCTCGTTGGGGTACTATGGGAGCAGGAGCCAGACGGCCACCGGGATGTGTGTCCAGTGCAGAGATTGTCAGCGAATTCACAGAGCTGTGCCCCCATCACCGCAACCTAGCTTCAGGGTGTTTCCATGCCCCCCCCCAAGTCATGCCTGTTAGCGGTCGCTCCTGTCTCCCCAGCTCCTGTGCCCCCTGACCGGCTCTCTGGGCGATTGGCCCGTTCTGGGCGCGGTGGCACACTGGGGCCGGGTCCTTTGCCTGCTGGGCGACCCCCCGCCCCCAGGGACCCCACACTGCTCCGTTCACCGGCTTCCAGTCTCTGGCTTTTGTGAATAAAGCTCTGCGAGCACTCTCACATGAGTCCTTGTGCAGACACGGGTTCCTGTTTCCCTTGAGCGGGGGCCTGGGGCTTGAATTTCTGGGTCTCGTGGGGAACTCATGTCTGAACTTTCAAAGAAAGACCGGTTTGCACAGGGGCTGCCTCCCTCTCCGTTCCCACCCCACCCCTGCCGGTGTGAGCTAGATGTCATCTGTCTGCCAATGTTTATTTTTACAATTCTGAAGCGAGGCCCCTAAAAGATCAGGCACCGACAGAAGGGCCTTACGTTTCAGTGTGATGGAAACGAACCCCTACGGTATCGTGGATTCTCACGGGAGAACCAAACACGAGCTCACACAATCAGGAAGGAGGCCATGAAGACAGGAGAGGGTGCTCGGGCAGAGGGGGGCACCACGGGTGGGAGAGGCGAGGAATCACCGAGTTCAGAAACAGGCTCGGTTCTTAGAACTCTCCTTGCTTTATTTTTTTATTTTTAAGATTTTATTTTTAACTAATCTCCATACCCAACGTGGGGCTTCAACTCACGACCTCGGGATCAAGAGTCCCACACTGCACCAGCTGAGCCAGGCAGATGCCCCGAGAACTCCCCCAATTTTGCTTTTTTAAAGATTTATTATGCATTTGTTTGGGAGAGAGCACGCATGTGTGCGTGCATGAGAGCTTGGGGAAAGGCCGAGGGAGAGAGAGACTCTCGAGCTGACTCACCGCAGAGCACCCCATGCATTGGGGGTGGGGGGCACTCGATCTCCCGACCCTGAGATAATGACCTGAGCTGAAACCAATGGTCAGATCTCGGGCTTAACTGACTGAGCCACCCAGGAGCCCCTCCCCCACTTCACCCTCACCAGTCAGACTGGCCAGACCTCGAGGGGCCGCTTTCAGCCCTGAAGCTTCTCCTTGAGGGAAGTGCTCTATCTAAATAATGACTTCCTGGGTCTTCTAGGGCACTCCCATCTCTGCAGAGCTGTGGTCCCAGCCATCAGGGGCGTGAGGCCAAGGACGAGGTGGCTGCCTCCCCACGAGTCAAGGTCAGAGGAGGCATTCTAGGACTTAAATCCCCCTGGGTGGCCCCACGGGTGTTCCCTGAATCACTGACTTCGGCTTCCCCTTGCACTTCCCCAGGGCACATGCACCTTTAGGGACCGTCTCAGGCTCTTCTCTCCTGGGCCCCTGGGACTTTCTCTGGAGATCTTGGGATGACATGCTGCTTTAGGGAACACTGGTAATCTCTTTCTTCAGGGACGGCAGGGTCCCCAGCATAAAAAGACCACATAGGGTATTATTTCCGGGCCCTCCCCTTCTTGTGGGTACTTATAACGTCTGGGGGACCCAGGATGGCCCACCATTCATAGCAGCATTCCCCTACAAGTCCACAGACCTTAAAGCCGCAGGAATAGGGCAGAGACAGCAAGCCACATCCACACTCGGGAAGCTTTGTGGGGAGTAGGATTCCAGGAGGACAGAGTGGGCTGGGGAAGGGCTTGGAGTCAGGGCTGAGACAGCGTCAGGGAGGGCTCTGGTTACTGAGAATTTGGTCTGTCCAGCAAGACAAGGGAAGCCATGCACGGTTTGAAGCAGGGCAGTCTGCACACAAATCTTGAGCAATCGGCCATCCCCACAGGGTCAGTTTCCCCCCTCCCTGCCCAACCTTGCATTCTGAAGCCTGACCACCTGTGATCCATCAAACCCTATCTATGACCTGAGCCTGTTGTGTTTCCAGGTAAGGACAGCATGACCCTGAGGCGCCCTTCTCATGCTACAGGGTTTGGGGCCTGGTGAGAAGCTGGGGCTGGCTTCTCCCTCCCCACCCCCAACCCCCGGCCTGTTCGTCCTCCAGAAGGACCACTGGGCCTGCACAAGTACAGTCAGACCCCTCATCTGTCTGACAGTTTTGGCCTTCGGGACCGGCCACAGAGATGCCCCCTGACCTTGAGCAGGAACCCCTTCATCCAGTCCGGTCGGTCAACACATGCCTAGCCCCAGCCCACCTGAGCCTCACAGCTGGTGTGCCAGGCCACAACTCAGGGCCGTCACACCGCCCTGGCCCATCACTCGAAAGGACAAAGCCAGATGACACAAATGAGAAAATACCCTTTTTAGAAAGAACGTTGTTCTCAGAATTTCCAAAAGAGCATTGCACAGTCATTGTGGGGAAAATTCAAAACCCTGTCCCACTTCTCTTATTCTGGTTTTCGTTCTGATTTCGAGTTATGTGGGGGGAGGGGCTCTATTCCTTTTTCAGCCTCAGAGCCTCGGAAACACCCCGTAAACTTTTTTCTTTTGACAAGTTTCATACCTAAAAAACAGAAGTTGCAAGACGAGCATATTGTGGTCATACAGGTTGGGCCTAGCCTGACCGTGTCAGCACTCGGCCACATCTGGTCCCCTCTGTCGCAGGCTCCCGTCCCCATGATGGTGCAGGTGCCCGCGTCCCAGCCCATCCACCCGCATAGACCCCGTGTCTCCTGAGAACAAGGACTTTTCCTGCGGTGACCCCAAGACAATGTTCACCTTGGGCAGGGAACCGGGCAATCCCCCACCCAGCCCAGTGCACGCCCAAGGTCTGCCAGTCGTCCCAGCGAGGCCAGAGCCGCCAGGAGCCTTCAGCTGTCCTGTCCCTTCAACCCCATCACAGAGGGCGGTCCTGGCCCTTCGCGGCGGAGCACATCCGCCTAGCAGGGTGTGTGCAATTCCCCGGTGGTGAGGGGACTCGGCAGCCATGCCCCAGAGCCGCGCCTCCTTGTCAGCACAAGCCCCGGGAGGCCCGCGCGGTGCTCAGCCTGTCCTTGGGGTCCGGGGGGCATCCGCGGGGCTTCCAAGATATCTTCCCCTTCCTGCTTGTCGATAACATGCAGGCAGATGCCGAGACCGCGCACGGTGTCCGCACGCAGCGGACCTGCCCGGATGGTGGAGGACCCGCCCGCCACCGGTCTTTCCTCCCGCGCCGCCACCTGCTCCGGGAGGGACAGCCTGCCCGCCTTCCTCCCCCTTCCTCCTGTCCAGTCCTCGCCGACCCCGGCTCCCTTCTCCGTTCCTGCTGCGATCCGTTCTTGGGGACCCGGTCCCCGCTGGTCACCTGAGCGGCGGCGGAGCACCCTCCGCCCCAGACGGCGCTGGGGCGCGGGACTACAACTCCCAGAAGGCCTCTGCGCGCACGACCCCGCGCGGCCGCCGTCGTGCCTCAAGTGCGCAGGCCTCGCGGATCACGTGGGCGCGGCGCGGGTCACGAGAACAAACACCCGGTCGCCGCGCTTCCCGGGCCGGGCCGTCCGCCGCGGACCATGGCTAACGTGTCTAAGAAGGTGTCGTGGTCCGGCCGCGACCTGGACGACGACGAGGCGGCGCCGCTGCTGCGGAGGACGGCGCGGCCCGGGGCGCCGGCCGGGGAGAGCACGCCGCTGTTGAACGGGGCCGGGCCGGCGGCCGCCCGTCAGGTGAGGCCCGTCCGCCGGGAGAGCCCCGGGCCCGCGCCTCAGTCTCTCCGCGCCGGGAGCCGGCCTCGCCGTGGCGGGCGTGGGCCGGGCCCTCCGCGCCGCTCCCACTCCGGGGTCAGCGGCTCTGGCAGGCGGAGGGTGGCTTACTCGCCGGTGGCCTTGTGCCTGGCCGGTGCTGACCGGCGCGTCGGTGCTCCGATCGTCCCCCGGTGAAGAGGAGGGGATGCGCCCGGTCGGGCGCGGGAACGGGCCCGGGGTCGTCTTCCGCACATGGCAGCGCTGGTCTCGGAACCGAGGCCCTGGGGCTCTGGGGTCTCGGGAGGGAGGAAGCTCGGGGCCGGGTGGCTGGGGGGCTCGAGGAGCAAGCAGGCCGAGCTCACCGTGACACTGTGCTCCGAGCGCGCACGGGCTGCCGGCCGCCGGCTGCTCTCCGCAGTGCGGGGCTCTGCGGGCCCCTTCTCTGCACGCGTCGGTGCGGGGCGAGCTTAGGGATGGTGGGTGTCTCCACCCGTTTTCCTCACCAGCTACGCGACGGGAGAGCGTGCAGACCCGCGCTCTAAGCAACAGGTCAGAGCGGTTGCGCCGCTCGGTGAGTCGGGTTGCGGCTTGGCAAGCGTGCACGGATGTTGTGTTCACTTTGAGTTAATGAGCTGTTTCTCTTCGTCGCTGGGTCTTACTCTGCTTTTGGTTGTTATTCTTGTTCCTTTTTTATTCTGTCTGTCCATTAACTATTGGAACAGTCTTCAAAAAGCAGGAAGGAGGCAAGCGTCAGGCTGTTTCTGTAGGGCTTATCCCCAGGTTGCCCCTGTCCCTTGGAAATGCATGAGAGTGAAAGTGCAGGTCTGCTCTTTGAGTGGACTCTTGTTCGGAAATGCCGTCTGTGTCTGCATGAGAAGTGACCTGAAATGGCTAATTTGGAGGGGGGGCCTTAAGGGTGCTTTGTTATTTTCTTCTTGGAACATTATTTTTTCCTTCTAAAAGAAAGTAGCCTAGGGTCTACAAAAGGGAATCGTGAAACTGGCTTTAGGAGTCGACAGGGAAAGTGCTAGAAACATAGAGGTGGAATTTGGGTTTATCTCAGGACTGAACGTGTGTTTCCCACTTTGCAAGTCGACCAAAGGAGGAGTTGGCTTTTTTTTTTTTTTTTTTTTTTTAAGGAAGAGTCTTTTGAACTCTTAA